TCTATAGACCTTATTCTCAAGGTAATCCGTCTTAAGTTACTTTTAGAACACTGCCAGTCTAAGAAATCCCAGGCAGGTCTAAAAATAGCCAATCCTGTTATGCGAACTTTGCTCACGTGGACAGCCCAAACGGTCGTACACGTATTTTTTAATGTTCCACGAAAACATCCACGCAACGCGCGTGGTAACTAACATCACCCGCGAGGCAACTGGATACCATGTCTAAAAATAACTTGAGAGGGAATACCATGGAAACAAGACCTATATGAGGGATTAAGTGTGTTACCCTTAATTAATTCTCTCTTGTCTCTAGACCCTATTCATAAATGGTCGCCAATTAAAAATTCTTTTGGCAGCCATTTGTGAATAGGGTCTATATTACTACCTTTTCGTCTTCTGAGGTATAGGAAGTGTTCGTCAATTTATTTAGCAAAGAAGTTCTCATCTGATGGTCGAGTCTCTTTGTTCGGCATATAAATAGGTTCAACATCACTGGGTTTTTGATTACAATACGGAGATGCAGGGCAGCCAATATATATCACGTGATTTCCCTTAACCCACATTCGCCACAGACTTTTGTGGAATCCGCGAGCGTCCAAGTCCCAGATTCTGAAACATCTGGCCACATTCGTCCACGTGAGATAGTCGTGCGTGTTGTCCATCCTGATGTAGAACAGGTAAATCTTGTTTTGGGTGTCAGGGATGAAGTTTTTGGGATTTGTGCACGGTGTTATTGAATGATCAAGAAGTTCCGCTTGACTGGAAGGAAGGAGGGAAGGAACAAAATAGCAGTGTTAGATACAAATGACGAGTTTTGAAAGATTAGACCTGTAGGAGTTTATTCTAAGTCAAGAAGCATGCATTGTTAGCGGTGCAAGGGAAAGAACTTAAAAGACGGGGGAATTATCGGTTAACTTTTTTAAATGACGAACTAGGTGAAACGTGGAAGGTTGTTTGAGTTATAGTCTGAACTAAGAACAAGTTGCCAAGTATAAGTTTCAAACGAACTCCTAAATTTAAGCAGATCGCCTTTAATAAGCGTGGCTCGAATTTACTTTCATCCGGAAGAGGTATTAACTTTTCCTGTAAAATTGTTCCAACTGTTTTTACACCCAAAAGTTCCATGGGTATTAGAGTACCTTAACTGTTGTTATGTTTTAACAGGGTCCTGAAGGGAGGGGAGCGCGCGCGGGGGGGGTTACAAATACCATTTCCCAGTACAAATGTTGCCTAAAAACCCATTTCCAAGCCTAATTTGATGCAAATCCCAGTTTCTTTCCCATGTTTTTGTTTGTGGTTCGCAGTCCCAGGGACCCAAATCCCATTTTCCCGGTGAAAGAATTGGAAAATCCCAGAACCATTTTACCCCTTCGGGGCCTTCGCCTGCGTGCTCGTACATGTCTGCTGTTACAGATGAAATAGTACACGTCTGCACACAGAAGTGTCAGCGGTAAAAAACTACAAATTTCAACCTTTACGGAGATCACCCCTACCACTTTTATGTGAGAGTCTTCCCGGGGATATTCACCTCAATAGCCGATTAATCTCCTGCTCATAGTTGTCCTTGTACATGAGGTCAGCGTCTATTTTGACGTTAGGTACTGTGTTTATGGCATGTCTCTTGAAATAAGCGTCGTTCATCGCCGGGCCCACGTTCAGGCCTTTGGCCCCAAAATGATAGGTGCGCGAGATGTCCGGTATAATGCACTCACGGCCCTTCCTTTGGTTAGGCATTCTCATCCACATGTCCCAGTCCCAGAAGACATCGGGCGCAGGCCACTTTGCCTCGAGTTCGCCTTTGTATAATTTACGACTTAAAACCCTTAAAAAAATAAAGCGATTTGCCTTAGACATCATTTCGACTGTTTAAGGAGAGATTTCCGGTTTACTTCTATAGAATATCGACTAACAAGTGAGTTTAAAAAAAAAAAAACTCATGTCCTTTACATGTACAGGAAACAGTTCTTTTCAAACACAATATTTGTTGGCATTAGAGTGAGGCCGCGTCCACACTACGCCAAAGGAATTTGAAAACAAGGGTTTGATTTTGAAAACGCATCAAATGTTCTCTGTCCACACTACGCCGGAGAAATTAAAAAAGCAGCAATCAACGGTCACAAATGGATTTCGGGCACGGGAATATCAAGATTATCGTATTAAATGTCGTCGTTTTCGAAAAGCTCCATTTTCAAAATGTTTTCCGTCCACACTAGAACGTCGTTTTTCCGTTTTCGTGACAGATTAGTGTGGACAGTAGGCCTAGCCGTAGAGCCTAACCGCAAAGCTGCGGCGTATTGTGGACAGGGCATGAAATTAAGAAACCTAAATGGATACGTGCTCTAAATAACAGTTTCATTTGAAGCTGGTTTCTTGGACCACCGCCATCTCTTGCCTTCCTTCATTCTCGTCCCCGGAATCTCAGTTTCTTTTTCTTATAAATGTTGAACAGAGCGGAGTGGTTGCAACATGTTAAAACGAGTAGCACTGGGTAAGAGAAAGGAAGCTCTGCATTACCACTGTCCTCGTTCTCGTTCCCAGGGTCACCTGTCTCTCTTGGTCGATGGGGTCTCAGCACGAGTGGCCATTTCCTCGTGCTAAGGCCCCACCGTCTAACTGGGACAGGTGACACTGGGGACGAGAATCATAGTGTCTTTAACAACAACAGAACTACATGTTAATGTAAGCGCATTAGCGCTACAAACCTGATCATTCCAAGCCGATATACAGTAAACACTTTCATCGTTTTCCAAGACTGGTAGAAGTTGGTTGAAGTAAGTGAGGATATCAACAGAAACTTCAAGATCTTCCTCAATGATTGCCACGTATTTGGCTTGAGGGAACGCGTCAAAAGATGTTGTTAGTGACCTCTTGTAGTGCTAGAATTTGAAAAACAAAACAATGGGTCATTTTGCAGTTGTGTGTTCAGTTACCTGGCCTATGAATGTAAGCGAGGCTGGAGGTGACCTTGTTTTGATATAAATCTCAATTTGAATGTCAACTAGTTAACATTAGAACAACTTGACTTACGCGACAAAAGCAGTGAGGTTTGTATGGCGAAACCAGGCCACCGCCGACCTCGCTGCCATCCAAAGGCCAGGTCACTGAGTAGACGATTGTAAAATGGCCCATTGTGAGATTTCAGTCACAGAACCCCACGAACGTAACTTTTAATTGTTTACTATTTATCAACTTGAAATTGATAAAGTTTAAGTAGCCTCGAGAATGAAAGATAATCCGAGAATGTTTATTATGTCGAAGTATACAGGCAACAAATGGTAAATCTAAGAGTTACACCCAAAGAGGCAAACATTTCACCAATTACTAAGTTTCACAAGCTCTTTAAATGTTTGTAGTCAATTTGTGTTTAGCGTGATGCTTTCTCTGCCCAAAAATCGTATGTTAATGACAAAAATGGGAACAATGACGTCAGCAAAGCTTTACCTGGCAGATCCTTGAATTCTTTTTACTAACGCCCTCATGTTCAAAAACTCTGAGGCCAAACATTCGGGCAACTGAGGCGGGTTCATCAAAGAATCCATCAATAAACACTGTTACCATGTCAGGATTCAGACCCTGGACTCTACGCAGTGACTTGAGCATTCTGAATAAGTACTGTGGGCGATTTCCAGCCATGATTAACACAGGAAGATCAATGCGGCTGCCATCTTCGAGAGCAGGAGGGTCGAAATCGATCGACTCTGGATCCTCGCCTAAGAAAACACAAGAGGTTTCTGCTTCAAAACAATTATTGTTTTCTAAATCCCTTGACAAATTAACGTGAAAAAAAAAAAAAAAAAAGCGGCAATATATAGGTCCGCAATGCAAATGACAGTGGCGCTTGAGGGAATACATTTTACCGCAAATATCCCTATAGTAGATGTGTTGTAATGGAAACACAAAATATCGCAATTTTGATTTTAATTTGTTCTGAAAATCTCTGAACAACATTCAGCTGATTTAGGAAACTTACTATAGACTTTTACGCTCGGGGTTACAGAATATCTTCACTACCAGAACGGTCTTTAGGGGTCTTTCATTGGGCAAATATTCCTCGAGGCACCTTTAAATTTTCCGATTTATGATAATCAATCTAAGAATAGTGTAAGTATTTGAGAATACTCCGAAAGTTGTAGCCCATCGTTGTGCAAGCAGTTGCCTAGCAACTTCGAGACGAAACTGAGATATCGGAGTGAGCTCGGAAACAGAAGTACTGACTGTTTTCCCAGCTGTAATGCGAATTCATCAGTCCTAGAAGAGTTTCTGAGAGTTTAAATTGTCACCTCGTTTTCCCGAAGCCTCTTTTGCACTTTCATACTACTTTCGTGTACCTTCGGGACCCTCGTCGAGTTTGAAGCTGCTCAAATGTTCATAAAAGCGGACACAAGTAGAGGGTTGTCCAATACCGGGTCCAAAGTGAGTTGAGTCGTCTAACTTTGTAGTCGACTCGACTTACCGGAAGCTAGGTCGTGAAGAACAAATTGTACGTAGTCGTCTATTGTTGTATACTGTAGCAGCGTAGACTACTTACCGGAAGTTTAAGGAGTAATTGGTGGTATAAAGAGGCACGACTCGGCACGACTCGACACGACTCGACACGACTAGACACGACTCGGAGACACGACTCGACACGACTCGTGTTAGATTAGAGCTCGAGTTGAAGAAAACTAGCTCCGCTTATCTCAAACCGTTGATAATCTATCAAGCTTAAGCAAAGGAAATGACCATTTGGATATCCGACCTTAATTAGCATACGAAAATTTTACGATTGTATTCCTTCGTTTTCTACTTAGTTGAAGTTTCGATTGAGAAGATATTTCAAGCTCTCGAGACAGTCTTTTGCCGCATTTCCAAACACCTCGAATTTCGTCAAAGATATACTCCATAATTTTCACTCTCGTCACATTGTTTGAAAATGTGTTAAACATGGTCTCTTGTGTTTAATACACAACATGCAGTTCCCATCTTTCAGTTCTCAATGGTCTCTCGGTCGGTTCATCCCGTCTTTAAGACATTTTTTTTTATAATTTACCTGAACTTTTATTGAATACTCACAGTGACAGACACGTCCATATCCTTCGATTCTCTCGCAGAATTCTCTTCTTCGCATATTACTGTCGTTATTATCCCAGCCGCATTCACTAGCCACACCCTGTTCTCGTTTCAAAGACGTTCTAATCATAACCTCTTTTGCCCAGTTGTCAAAATCGGGAGCTTTCTGATGACTCTCAGCGAAGACGTTTTTCTCTTTGCTATTTCGCTGAAATATAAAAGCCCACATATCTCGCCAGCCGAGATCTCTTATGAAGCCACTTCCCAACTTCTCAATGTACTTGCGAACTTCGCTTTCCAAGCTGTTGGCTGCTTCATCCTGTTGTTGGAAGAAAAATTAATGTTTGTAAATCGCAAAACTACGATTGGGAGATTAATTGAGAGCTATCGGCTCATTGTGTTACAGTGGCCAGAAAGAACGAAACTTTTTCGCTACATTTTTCGGTTTCCTTTTTCTTCTTGGACATTTTACAGCTTGACAGGGGTAGTTTTCGCTGACACGTGTGATTTTTTTAAAAGCCTTTTTGTAAGTTTAATTTTTGAAAAAAATTGATTATGGGAGCTATGCCAAGGTGTATTACCATAAGCGAAGTTTACCTCGAATCGAAAGAAACCTGTTCAATAAGGCCCAGTTCAGACTAAATTGCAATTAGGTTCGACTGTAGCACGGCAGGAAAACAACTCTGATTCATACGTCGTGACAGAGTCGAACCAAATTCAGGATATCCTGATGCCTCGTAACAATTCTCCTCCTAACTCCCCGTAGGAACGCAATTCCGCCAAAATACATTAATATAATTTATGAATTTTGTTTAGCGCGGCAGAAGCACGACGTTTGAATCGCTGCTGTGCCAGAGT